AGATGTGCCATCAGTGCCTGCTGCTCATGTACTTGCAGTATTCTTGGGCTCCTCATGCCAGCACCGAGCACACCTGACACTGCCCAGGCCCAAGGCTTGCCACATCTGTAACAGGAACCCCCAGCTGTGTGCCCAAAGCACTTCCTGGCAATGCCCACGTGCTGGTCTCTGCAAGTGTATTTGGCCTTGTGCACAACAGGGTAAGTGCACAACATACAAAAGATTGAGATGATATCAAGGATTGCAGCTACTCATTCTCTGATTTTTGGTGGTAGATGTCTTGCTAGTTGCACTTTTCCCCCATTTTTTATAATTTAACAGGCGAAGTTAGTAGAGCACACCAGACATGTGGGAGCTTGATTACCTTCAAGTCCAACACACAACACTCCTTTGTGTTGAAAGCTTTACAGAATAGACACAGAAGATGCACGCCTTATACCAAAGTGTAACCATGGCACGTCTTTGCGCGCTCCCTAGTAATGCCATGGAAAGGAAACCAAAGTCATCTTCCTGCGACAAGACAGTCTGTGTCTTCTCCACTTGCCTTGACTTCACACACAGAGGATGTGCAGGAGCTGCACACAGCATGCCTACCGAGGGGTGGGAAACCGGGAGAAGCTGACAGGTACACTCTAACTGCACAGAAGGGCACTGGTTCCAGGTACTGACAACGCAAGCACATATGCAGACAGGACAGTGCAATAGAGATGTTTGCTTTGTCTTGTGCTTTGCTCGCATGTTCTTTTCCAGTCTCATTTCAGCACTGGAAGCTTTCGACATCAGAAGAGGCAAGATCCTGAAGTCCTCTGCAGCATGGCACTGGGAATGCCACAGCCCCTTGGCATTCTCTAGATATGTCTTGGCTTCTCTGATACTTGAGGCAGGAGCAAACATGAAGTGTATTCTTCCTCACAAGTCTCTTACAACCTGTGCTGCAAAACATAACGCTTAGCTGTAGTAACAGCAGCAGACACGAGGTTTCCCTCATGCCTCCTGAGGTGTCAGCGCCAGAAGGGCTCTTAGAGGTGGAGCAGCCATGTTCCGACTGTCACGCTTGAGCGTCTCCATTTGACTGGGGAGGTGGTGGTAGGGAAGAGACACAGACATTTAGCACAGGCCGCTGGGCTCATGCCCTAAAAGCCTGACCTTCTTAGTATAACTCACTGCTTCCAGGTACTTTACCTTCGTGCCGGACTGGACCTTGATGAAGCCTTATTCATATTTCTTCTTTCCGCTGCTTTAATATCTGTAAAGAATAATCAACCCATCTGTTCAATGCTATGGAACAAAAACAAGATCATCAGCACAATTCAAATGAAAGCAACTTAAGCTCAACAACATCCAGATGGTGCAAGAAAATCCATTCAGCAGACAGACATTGCCACTTTGACAATTTTTTATTAAGTTTAGATAGTACAACATAATGAAATTTTCATGGATTTCTCTGACTTCAAAACAGGGTGGGCAGCTTGGGTGAACTTTTAACCCTTTATGTTCAGGCCTACATCCAGACTCTTCATTCTGTAAGAGAAACTCTTTCTTCTGCAGTCTATGAGCGAGCAGAAAGCAACTCATGGACTCTAGGAGAAAAAGCAGAGTCTGAAAATCTCCAAGAAAGGAAGCTGATGGCCAGCACAGTCTTAAGTTCACAGCCAGTCCTGTTCAATGGAGCATGCCGCTACCCTTGTTGAAAATAATCCAAGGGTTCTCAAGTGGCACGTGCAACTGCGTTCCAAGGGACTGCTGCAGCATTAAGTTGTACAGCCTCCACCACTGAGGAAACGGGATCCAAGGAGCCTGAAGCACAAGCTCCTTATGAAGTCAACATGGTGCATTCGAAACACCACTGTTAACACGATGCAAACTGATGCAACGGATCAGAAATTTGAAAATTGATTGGCTTCTGAGCATCTCCATGAAAAACACCATAAAGTGAAATACAAAGAAGAGAGCTGAAGAGACAGAGTCTTGTCCTCAACCAGAAAAAGTGAAGTTGCCCAGAACTGGCAGGGACCCATATTGTTCTACTGTGAAGAAACAAAGCCCTCTGTAACAGCTGATTGAAGATGAAATAATGTACTGGAAGGGGGCAAGAACAAACAGAAATTACTTCAGATCTTTTACTCCGAGAGCCTTTTAAGGAAAAGAGCAAAACAAACTTAGGTCCTATCTGCTCCCTGAGAATCTATTGACAATAAAAATTTCCTATTAGATATTTACATTAGCTACTTTCAAAGCTCTTGCGAGCGAACAAATGTGCCACAATGCCTTTAGGCAAACTTAGTCTTAACATCTTCTGTAACTTCCCAAACTATCCTTCATTACTTTCAAGATTAAAAACAGAATTAACGCATTAGTTCTAATTTTTGCTCTTGTTGTCAATCAAGAAGCAGCGTGATCTCTTTTTGTAGGGGGGGAAGAGAGGCAAGCGCAATCTGAACATTAACTACAAATGCAGCATAACAACATTCACAGGACCACAAAGCAGTCTCTCCACCATAAAATACAGCTGAATTGTCTACTGTCACAAACTAAATTTGAAGGACATTTATTCCCTACATAGTTTTGCTCATTAAAGATATGAAAACACTTCTATGCATTTGTGGAAGTATTAGTATAATCCAATACTGGAGTTAAACTCTCCCAAAGCCTTTTACCTTTTTGTGTTATTAGCAATTGTATTTAATACTCAGACTGCATAACTGAAGCAGCTGTTCTCCTTGCATTTATTTTTTAGTTGAGAGTTTTTTCCCCTTAAAGTCAAGTGTTATCTTTAAGCAAGACACTATCTGCTTTCTTTGGTTTAAGATTATTTTTATTGTCCGTTTTAAGATGCAGAAACCTATTATGATTTTTTACACTCAATACCATACATTTCTTTCAAATAAAAAAACTACGTATTTAAACCTGAACAAAAATATTTTACTAGAAGAAAAAACACCTTTGACAGGGATCCTTCTCTTGTGCAAAACGAACAGATTTAATAACGCTTTATTTAATGCCAACAGCATTTACAGGTTAAGTATTTGAACATTAACAAAACTTCTGAGGCAAAAAAAAAGTCTTCTGTCTTGCAGGATTTTGAGATGACAGGGCCACTGTAATCATACAGTGTAACCTTCTGAATAAACACAGGTGGCAAGTTTCTTGAATCACATTCCTATCTCAAGTGCAACAGCAGCATTAAACTAGAGCTTATCTTTTAGCAAAACATCCAATTCCAATTTAATAGTCTTCAGAGCACAGAAACCACCAAAGCTCCAATAAGTTATTCCAGAAGTAAATTACTTTGCTGTTAAAAGGAAACTACTTATTTCCATTTAAGGACTTGTCATACCTATAACTACCAGATTAAAACTCACTTAACTCCAGGTCTGCTTGTAACACACAGATCACAACAGTCCTTTATCTTGAGGCTTTTGCTAGGGCTTGTTCTTCAACTCTTTAAGCCTTCTTCAGATTTTTCTGAGGCTTCTCCAATTTAGCATTATCCTTTTGAACCAGGCATACCAGAACTGAACACGGTATTCCAGCAGCAAAAACCCACAAGTACAAAAACCTCCCTGCTTACAAATCTGTGTTTTGTACAGCTAAGGATGACAAAACCACTCCTGCAAGGTGCAGATCTTCCCTTTTAGCTTTACTGAAAGTTCAGTTCTGTCTGCATCCAGCTTAGGGAGTCCGGGTCATTTCACCATCAATGACTCAATCTTCATTATTTCATTCTCTCTTTTTAAAAGATGATTGTGTGTTTTCTTTCCAAGTCACTTGTAAAAGCACTGTATGGCCAGGAATCAATTTTTCCAGAACACCATTCAAAGCACTAACCAATTCCATCTATGTTACACTGAGATTCATTTGAAATCCATTTAACCCTATGTTGGTTTTAATTGTTCGAGTTTCTTAATCAAATCAAACATCTTACAGAAGTCTTAAATCAACACTGCTACTTTCGGCCATAAAACTTGCAGTATCATAAGAATAAGTTAGTTAGACAGGATTTATTTTGATTGGCATTAATTAATTCACTTCTCACTGAGAGTCAGGTGAAAGAATACCTTCGTTACCAGGGGCTGATGCCAGGCTCACCCCATTGACACTGCCTATTGGCACATCTGCAGCGCTCTGCTAGGTCCCTGGAAACTCCCTAGTTTTCCAAAGCTTGTGGAAAAACAACATTAATAGCCTAGGCAGGTCTTCATTTCAGTGAGCCTCATGGATGTTAGATTTAATTTTTTGGAGAGCTCTAGTTTTGGTAGCTGCTGGTTTACCTTTTTTTAGTCTCCTACTGAAATGGAAACTATATCAAAACTGACACCTTCTGCCTCTTCAAAAACAGCAGAAACATTAACTGAAGACTAGGTGGTCCTTTCCAGTGAGAAATTTTATCATTTCCAGACAGTTACACCTCAGCTTCTAAAACAGCCACAGTTTTTCCTATTTAAGCTTCTAGACTTCAACAATGCTGGCCATAATTTCTTCTTTTGTCCTTCTACCCTCTTTGTATATTTGCTTCCATTTCCATCTTCAGGCTCATCTTTCCTACTGTACACACACCTTCCCCACAAGTTATTTATTGCTCCTTTCATTCCTTCCTAAGTCAAACTGTTTTTCTTTAAATTAGCATAGGTTTACTTTGAAAGTAATTTTTTTCCTTGCATTTAATAGATTACTCTTAGATTTCTAACCATTCATTTCTGTTTAAGTTTGCTCCCAGCATATTTAGCAGAATTATTTTCATCTTTATGAAAAAGGCCTTTTTAAAGCATCTGGTATTTATAGCACTGCTTACAGATTGATTTCACACGTGCAAAAAAATCCAAGTTAAGATTACTTATCTAAGAAGCCGCTGAGTGCTGCAACCAGTTCCTCTGAACCTTCCAAGATGAAGCCCAATATTGGTTCACAAATGTTTTTAAAACTACACGTATGAGGTTTCAGTGATTGCTTTCCAGGGCTTACACATCGAACAGTTTCTTACACAGGGTAATAGAGATTTTTCAAATACTAACACACAAAAATAAGTTCAGAGTAAGACCTAGGTAGCAAGAGAAAACACTGCAGATGAACCACACAGCACTTACAGCAAGTAACTCAGAAGGCAAATACATACCTAGTAAAAGGGATTTTAGACTCGCGCCAGGCAAGTTTCACATAGTGATCTTTCCAGAGAGCTTTAAAACAAAAGCACTCTTTCTACCAGAACGCATGCTAGGGTCAGTAGGAGAGCACGGATCAGTTTTCCTTACCTAATCTATACCCTTTATAAAGGCGACCCTTCTCACCGTCCAGAGCGGCCTGGACATCTTCTAGACGGTCATACTGCACGAACCCATAGCCATGGTACATGCTGAGGGCTGGAAAAGTTAACAGCAGGGCAAGACCGGTTACAACTAAGGGACAGTACTAACCCGCACCCAGGCCATCACGTAACCCCACCAGGTGAACAAGCAAAGGGGCTCTACCCAGAAATGACTATGCAAGTTTCCTGGGAAAAAACAAATCTACCAGGATCAAAATACAGAGCTTAAAGACTCTGAAATATATTTCATAGATCAACTTCCTTCTGACAAGGCAGTGACCAAAATACAGTCCATGAAGTGACCAAGGTTTGATTAAGAGACTATGAAGTCTAGAGTGTTGTAACATCACACTGCAACCCCAAAAGCTAAAACATAGCTGATATATATATATGCATTACACTTCAGCTGTACTGAAGGAATCACTTTTTCAGAGAAAACGCAGGCAGAGAAAATTATCATTAAAAGGTCACTTTTTAGGAACAACATTAGTCACTCCTCCCATCATCATCAAACAGCAATGTGACAAGCATGAAGTTATATTTCTCACTGAATTCCCAGCCACAAAAAGGCATAAGATAATATACTAACCCCTGATTTTGCCATATTTTGAAAATATCTCTTCCATTTCTTCACGAGTCATGTGGTCTGTGGGCAAATTGCCGACAAAAAGTCTTCTCTCTAAATCCTGAGGATTGGTGCTGTTAGTGAAGTCGCTCTGTTTGATGCTATTGCTCTTGCGTCCTCGAGCCATTTTGCTTTCGTTCCAAATCCAACTCTTCGCAAAAAAGAAAAACGGCCATGCATATAATTTCAATCCATGACATTAAAATTAAACTGGAACAAGATTAAACTTAACAGCTTTGCAGACTAGAAGCCAACTGGGTCTGCTTGACGCAAACTTCACTCCAGGGAAATCTTAATACAAGAGATATAGAGGTCTGGCAAAAATGTATACCGCAGCATTTTGGTTGAGCTTTTCTGTAATACTGAAAGGTAGTAAACCTAATTATTTTGCAGATAAATTTTAATGGTTTAACTCCAAACTAAGATAACAAATAAAACTCATTTGTCACTAAAACATCTTAACTTTAAGCTTTTCAAAACACCCATTGTTGTCATATCTATTTCTTCAGTCCACTGGTAAGAAGTGTTGAAATTTATGCAACATTTTAACAAGCAGAAAGGAAACACTCATTGCAACATTGCATAATAGGACCCAAATATTTCAATACAGGCTTTGAATGAGACACCAGGAAATACTGTTTGAATGTTAAGTGACCACACTCGGATCCCTTTACTAAACGTGAAATTTCAGCTTTCCAATACCAGAAAACACTGTTTCTCATTCATACCCCTACTAACCAGCATATCCTTGTCCCCATAGAGACATCAGCTCCCACAGAAGGCGGGTCCACAGCTGGGAATTTAACCACCCCACGTAAATGCTGTACCGCTACCTCACCTCCCCCCGTACGGCAAAAGTACACTTTGTTAACCCACACTACTGTAGACAACGCTGGAGCAGTCAGCAACATTCACTGCAAATTTACCCAAAGAATTACACCAAAAAACCCTCCACAAACAAACGTAACAAACTCTACTGAGCCAACAAAAAAACCTCTGCCAAACTCCACCCAGGATTCATACTTTCTGGTTTTAAAGTTACCATTACATAAAGCTTAAAAAAAAAGTAAAACACTGAAACTGTCAAGATTACCTTGAAAGTTTGCAAACTATTTAATAAAGTTGTCATATTTCCTAAACATTCATCTACAGGAATGCAGGGCAGGATTTTCTAACATGTAAGAATTCTGGAAAAAGAATGTATCAAATTGAATGAAATTGAATGTATCAACAGAAACTTTTACTGGTCATCATGAGATGCCTCCAACCAACACACTCCCTAACAGTAACCTATATTTGCTACAAGTTAAAAGTAGCCTATAAATAAACAAGTCAAACATCCAAAAATACAAAACACTTTCACATAAATACTTCTACAACACTTAACTGGCATGAAAAATACATCTAATCCAGATTTGAGATATAAAATTCTGGGGTTTGCACCTTCCCCCCCCCTTTTTTTTTTCCTTTTTTCTTTTTTTTTTTTTTTTTTTAAGATTACATTTGTATCACTTTTCTCCTTCTTTTAGGAAGCCCTCAGGGATGGGAGGCAGAGAACGCCTCCCCATCTAGTAAACTTTTTAAAGTAAACTGAACTGCCAGAACAGGAAGGAGGGAAACATCACAATACCGAAACCAAAATCAAACAAAAAAAGTCCTTTCTTTTACCACAGTTGCCTCAATCCTCCTGTAAGTTTGTCCACCCACGCAGTTTTACCTCCCCGTCAGAAGTACCAAATCTTGTTCCATTTTTCCATATAGAAGCACTAGACTTCTATTCTACAATTGCACCTCAAGTTCTCATGAGTTGAGGGGAAAGAAGTTTTCAAAATTCTCCCAAAATAATTAAGTGGCTATAAAACACGGAACGACCCATCGAGTCCAAGTTCCCATTCAGATCAGGGTGATGTCCAACTTGGATCCAGCAGTCACAGCCTTTTCCAGCCAGGCTCCGAGCATCCCCAGGGATGGACACTCGGAGCCCCTGCAAGCACCCGCTCAGGGAGCACAACCTGTGCACGTGGTCTTGGGACATCACATATACACACAACAAACGGATGTCAATGAGACCTGTAAATGTTCCTGGCAGGACGTTTCACTTTCAGTATAAAAAGCAGTAAGAAATTCCCTTTTCTGTTTCTTAAGAGTGGGGATAGTAAGGAGTGGCTGGGGAAGACAATGCAAGAGCTTTCCATATGAAGAAAAACTATTTTTTCCACTTCAAGTCATTTTCAAAACAAAGCAATAAATCATAAACACTCAGCTTGAATTACTAGAGAACTTTCATATAAGAGCATTTACTGCCTCTTACCATTTTCCACTTGGTAGATTACATAGTTAAGGGCCATTTACTAATCGTAAGACTGGAATAAATGTTGTCCCAGCTTTAGGCATGTTACACCAGGTGAACAACTGATTGCCACATTAAGTCTTTTTCTACAAATGCAGCCAGAGAGACCAACTACGCACCTGGGCGGCTTAAAGGTGCTAATACCCCTATGCAGAAACCGAGCACCAGGCTGAACAGGTTCCTACAACAGGACAGCCCACAGCTTGTGTGCCAATAAATCCTCTGGAAGTTAATTAAAGCCACATTTCCCTAAAAATCTTTTACATAAGAGTTATTTATTAATAGCGCTACAGCTTCAGAAAGCAAGATACAGTCAAAGTGGGATGTTGAAGCTAATTTGATGTGAGTGAAATGTTACACCGAAGTCTGTAGGAAGTTCCTGGGGTAGGTAAAAAAAAAAAAAAAAAAAGCCACCCACCACAGAAAGGAACGGTGCTGAGGAGCAGTAAGCTTCCCACCCAGCACCTCTCAGCACCTCAGAGCCAAGCCCTGCCAGGCAGCCGCCCCAAATGCCTGGCCCGGGGCCAGGAGGGCCGTTCGTGGGCAGCATCCACCTGCCTCGGTCCTCTGCACCCAGGACAGCAGGCAGACACAGAGCTGCCCGCAAGGAAAACACACTGACACAGAGAACACTTTCACCTTCCTGCCTGAGGACCCTGCTGCTGCTGTGAGAACGCAAGCCAGGCTTCTCCTCTCCTGCTCCGGCCAGCACCCTTGCCTCTGTCGGTACTCACAGCTTTCTCAAGCGGCGGTGAGGAAAAACCACATCCCTGACGCTTCACCGGTGGCCGCAGTTCTCCCACCAGGCCGCAGGTGCTCCCTTGGGCCGCGCTACCCACCCATATCGCGACAGCGCCAACGACATCACCCGTTGCACATCTTGACCGGGGAAGAGGCGCCTTTCAACTGCGTTAACCCTGCGTACCGACCGG